CCCAGTGATGCAAGGATGGTACAATGTCCGCAAATCAATAAACGTGATACATCACATAAACAAATTGAAAGGCAAAAATCACATAGTCATATCAACTGATGCAGAAAAAGCCTTTGACAAAATTCAACACCCTTTCTTGATAAAAACTCTCAGCGAGGTGGAAATAGAAGGATCATTCCTTAACATAATAAAAGCCATATATGACAAACCCACAGCCAACATCATACTCAATGGGCAAAAACTAAACTCATTTCCCCTAAGAACAGGAACAAGTCAGGGATGCCCGCTTTCACCACTCCTGTTTGACATAGTACTGGAAGTACTAGCCATTGCAATCAGACAAGAAGAATAAATAAAAGGCATCCAAATTGGAAAAGAAGTAAAACTGTCCTTATTCACAGATGACATGATACTGTACATAGAAATCCCTAAAGACTCCATCAAAAAATTATTAGACTTCATAAATGAATTCGGCAATGTAGCAGGATACAAAATTAACGCCAAGAAATTCATGGCATTTCTATACACCAATAATGAACTTACAGAAAGAGAGACTAAAAAAGCAATCCCATTTACCATCACACCAAAAAAATTAAGATACATAGGAATAAACTTAACTAAGGAGGTAAAAGACCTATATGCGGAAAACTACAGGACCCTGATAAAAAAGATAGAGGAAGACATAAACAGGTGGAAGAACATACCGTGTTCATGGATTGGTAGAATCAACATCATCAAAATATCCATACTACCCAAAGCAATCTATAGATTCAATGCAATCCCCATTAAAATACCAATGGCATATTTCACAGACCTAGAACCAACTTTCCAAAAATTCCTCTGGAATAAAAAAAGACCCCGAATAGCTGCAACAATCCTGAGAATGAAGAACAAAGTAGGTGGGATCTCAATACCAGATATCAAGCTGTATTACAAAGCCACTGTTCTCAAAACAGCCTGGTACTGGCACAAGAACAGACATATAGATCAATGGAATAGAATAGAGAACCCAGAAATCGACCCAAACCACTATGCTCAATTAATATTTGACAAAGGAGGCATGAACATACAATGGAGTCAAGACAGTTTTTTCAATAAATGGTGTTGGGAAAATTGGACAGATACATGCAAAAAAATGAAACTATACCACCAACTTACACCATTCACAAAAATAAACTCAAAATGGATATTTTTTCTTTTCTTGTTTGCACATTTTGTGTCATATGTAAGAATTGATTGCCAAACCCAAGGCCATGAAGATTTATTCCTGTGTTTTCTAACTGTTCCATTTTTATTGTATTTTTAATGTTTTTATTGATTTTTTTTTAGAGAGAGAGGAAGGGAGAGGGATAGAGAGATAGAAACATCAATGAGAAAAAAGCATCATTGATTGGCTGCTTCCTGCACACACACACAGGGGATTGAGCCTGTAACCCGGGCATGTGCCCTGACTGGCAATTGAGCTAGCGGCTTCTTGATTCCTGGGTAATGTTCAACCGCTGAGCTACATGGCCAGGCCTAACTGTTTTATTTTTAGCTCTTAAATGAGGTCTTTGATGCCTTTTTACCTGATTTTTGTGTATTTTGTGAGGTATGGGTCCATCTTCCATTTTTTGCTTGTGCATAAACAATTCTTTCCCTCATTGAAGGGGATTGCTGAAAATTAGTTGACATGAATAAATGGGTTTATTTCTAGATTCACAATTTTATTTTGTTGGTTTATATGTCTACTCATATGGCAGCACCATACTGCTCTGATTACTGTATAAGTTTTGAAATCAGGAAGTGTGAGTCCTCCAACTTTGCTTTTCATTTTCAATATTGTTTGGGTATTGGGGCCTCTTGCAATACCATATGAATTTTAGGATGAGCTTTTCCATTTTTGCAAAAAAGAAATGCTGTTGGAATATTGTTAGTATGGCATTGAATCTGTAGATCACTTTTGAGAATATTGCCATGTTTAAAATATTGTCTTCCAATTCATAATCACAGGATACTTTTCAATTTATTCAGGGTTTTTAAATTTCCTTAGCAATTTTATAGCTTTCAGTGGACAAGTCATGAGCCTTCTTTGATAAAGTTATTACTGATATTTTGTTGAAGATTTTTGCATCGATGTTCATAAGAGTTAATGATCTATAGTTTTGTTTTCTTTCTTTTTTTTGGGGGGGGGTAGGGTGGGGTGGGCTGTTTTATTAGGTAGTTATTACAGGGGTCAGACCACAGAAGTGGTGTCAAGCTCCGGGAATGTGACCTCTCAATGTTGATCACAAAGCCCCCAAGGCTGGTCCCGGTGAGCCCCAAGGTCAGAAATGGAACTGAAAGGCCTCGGTCACATGCTGCTTCCAGGTGTCCAGGCTGGGCAGCAGGGAAGAGATGCCCATGAGGTGCCAGGTCTCCCCGTCGGACACCAGCGAGGTCTGGTAGGACAGCAGCTGCACATCTGCCTCTGCCAGGAGCCCAATCATGGTAGGCAGCAGGCAGGGTTGGAGGGCTGAGCCCGGAACAGGAGCAGGGGCAGACCCCTGCTGAGAGGCACTTCTGGTCTGAGGCAGCTCCGTTGAGTGCCTGCAGCACAGGTGTGGTGCCCTGGACAAAGCCCACAGCCTCGTAGGGGGCACCTGCCAGGGCCACGCTCAGGAGGCCTTCCCTGCGTCCTTGCTCTCCTGGCACAGCGGGGTTATGGGAGAAGGTTACACTGAGGCCGCCCTCCTTCACCAGCAGCTTGGTGTTCACCAAGTTCATATCCGCATGATTGGAAGCGTCTTTGAGGAGGCCGACAATGACTGCGGGGCTCAGGCAGTTCCCAGCATTCTTCAGGGATAAGCCCTGCGTTACCACCTGGATGGTCCCTTTGGGGGACCCTGCCCAGGCTCGCATCAGAGTCCCCAGAGCTTCGGCCAGACCGAGCCAAGGTTTGGTGTGCTGAGAGAAGGCGATGGTAAGGGCCTGGGCATTCACAACCCCCGCAAGGGCTCTCCCCTTCACCATGTCCACGAACTGGACAGCGATCTCCTCCGGCAGCGGCTCTGGGCCTCCTTGGTGCTGGCGCCCAGGTGGGGGCAGCTGATGACATTCTCATGGTCCACCAAGGCACGGTCCAGCGGTGGCTCCTCAGTGAACATGTCCAGCGCTGCACTCGCGCACTGCCCTGACTGCAGGGCCCGGAGCAGGGCAATCTCGTTCACGATCCCTCCGCGGGCGCAGTTCACCACGCGCACGCCCTTCTTGCACAGGGCGAAGGTGAAGTGGTTCAGCAGGCCTGTCGTGGAGGGCAGGAGAGGGGTGTGCACAATGATGAAGTCACAGAGGGGCCAGATCTCCTCCAGGGGCAGCTGCTGAACGCCGAAGGAGGCCGAGACCTCTGGTGAGATGATGGGGTCATACCCTACAGTTTTCATCCCCAAGGACTGCCTCCGGACGGCCACCTCTCTCCTGATCCTCCTTTCGGTCCCATTTGCCAGCCTTCATTGAAGCCGTCGCCTGGGGAATCTGCCTGGCCAGACACATGATCATCCCACAGGTGAGCTCCGCAGCACTGAGACTGTTCCCATTGGGAGTGTTCATGACCAGGATGCCCTTCCTCGTGGCGGCCTCCAGATCCACGTTGTCCACGCCGGTGCCGGCCCTGCCCACCACCTGGAGCTTCTCAGCTGCGTTGATGACATCCGCGGTCACCTTGGTGGCCAAGCACACGATAAGGCCTTCGCAGTCCTGCAGCTCGGCTTTCAGCTCCTCTTTGCTCAGGTTCTGCTTCTCCACCACCTGCAGCCCTCCATCTTGCAGGATCTTCCGGCAGCAAGGGTCCAGGCTGTCACCGATGAGCACTTTCTGCAGATTTGCGAAGGCCATTGCTGGATCCGGCCTCGGGATCGACCGCTCTCCCTGGACAAAAACACCTCTGCGCCGAGAAGCTACTGTTCAGAAGGCCGGGCTTGTGTTACTGGGCCTTGTTTTCTTTTGATGTCTCTTTGGTTTTATTTTTAGAGTAATTGTGGCCTCATAAAATTACTTAGTGTTCCTTTTCATTCTGTTTTTTAGGAGTTTAAAAGAATTTGTGTTAATTCTTTCTAAAATGATTAGTCAAATGCAGGTCTTCACTTTTTCAAAGTTGTTTGGTTTTTAAATATATATATATTTGTATTTATTTCAGACAGGAAGGGAGAGGAGAGCGGGAGAGAAACATTAATGATAAGAGAGAATCATTGATAGGCTGCCTCCTGCATGTCCTCTACTGAGGATCTAGCAACCTGGGCATGTGCCCTTGACTGAAATAGAACCCAGGACCCTTAGTCCGCAGGCCAATGCTCTATCCACTGAGCCAAACAACCTAAGGCAATTTTAGAAAGTTTTAATTATGAATTCAATCTCCTTACTTGTGCCAGGTATGTTCAGACTCTAGCTCTTCAGTTACATTTCTAGTTCATAGCTTTGAAGGAATTTTTTTTATTTCATTCAGGTTATATAATCTGTTGTTGAATAATTGCTCATAATTTCTCTTATAATCCTTTGTAAATTCAGATGATTGGTGGATATATATATATATATATATATATCATTATTATGTATACAAAATATGTGTATTGTTATAATATAGACTAGAGGCCCAGTGCACAAAATTCGTGCATGGGTAGGGTCCCTAGGGGGCCAGTGATCAGGCCCAATCGGGGCCTTCCTGCTGCCAGCCAGGGCCTCCCTCCCCTGGCTGCTGGCAGCCAGCCTGGGCCTTCATTTGGCGCTGCCCCCTGGTGGTCAACACACATCATAGTAAGCGATCAGTTTCCCAGTCAAACTCCTGTGGGGACAATTTGCATATTAGACTTTTATATATATAGATATGGCATTGTTTGGTATACCTATAACAATATTTCAGATAACACTTGGCATATAGTGTAACATAATATATATAAAAATATGTCTATACATAAAAATGGTATTATGGCAACAACTGCTGGCACAGTCACTAATCTAACTCCCTTATTAACTCCCACAACTCATAGAACTGTCCCTGGAGGTAAAGGAGCAAGGAGACAAGAATGTCACCCTGAGCAATAATCAGGCAAAGATGCTGGTGAACTGGGATGTGGTGCAGGACTCAGGTGACTCAGGTAATGACTGATATAGAGAGAAGGTCAATGAGGCTTCAAGTGGAACAAGACACCAAAGGACATGACAAACAGAGAATTAAGTATTAAAGGGAAGTATGGGCTGTAGTTGGTCAAAGGAGAGAATGCATCCCAGAAGGAAGGGGGCCTTTGGGACAACCCAAGATGTGAACCTTGTCCTTGTCCTGTAGGCTCTTCTGTGGTGGGCCTTGTCTCCTCTCCAGGGGTGGGCAAGTTGCTGGTTGGGGCCCCCCTGTTCCTGGAAACTGAGGAGCAGTCAGGTCTGCATGAGACACACAAGGTCCTGCAACAGGAAGGCTCCTTCGACCTGCTCTCAGATGTCACATCCGCCTTTGTGAGCAACAAGGACACTCGGAACCTCAGCTCCCCAGTCACCTTTGTCTTCAAGCATGTGAGTGCTGGTGAAATGGGGCTGTGGGTGTGGAAGAGGCCCGAGTCCTGGACACAGTCTTGGAGTTCAGGGGCTCTCCCATGGGTGCATCATCTCCCCAGGGAAGCCCATCACAAGCAGGATTTGGTCAGAATTTCTGAGTACCTAATCACCAGCTCACACCTTGTTCTGTTCCTACAGACAGTGACCCCGAGGCCAAAGCAGAAGGTGTTCTGTGTCTTCTTGGAGCCTGGCCAGAAGGGGTGTGGTCATTGGTCCACCAAAGGCTGCTGGATGGTGGGCACCAGAGACACCAGCACCACCTGCCAATGCAGCCACCTCAGCAGCTTTGCCGTCCTCATGGCCCACTATGATGTGCAGGTGAGAGCCTTGAGAAGGGGCTTTGTTCAATGTCTATTGCTAGGTAATAAGTTCCCATGCATGTTACACCTAAAAAAACATAATTTATTATTCTGCAATTTATGTGAGTCAATAAATAAACATGGTGTAGCTGGGTTGTCCAGTCAGAATCTTACACAAGCCTCTCGTCTGAGGTTTTCTGTCCTCCTCTGAGCTCCCTGGTTGCTTGCAGAATTCAGTTTCCTATGGTTGTAGGACTGAGGTTTTACACTCTTGTTAGCTGGCAGCAGGGGTCACATTCAGCTACTAGAGCCTCCCTGCATTCCTTCTTATGTGGCCCTCTCTCAGGCCCTCTCACAATGTGTCTATGCTCTTACCTGGAGACTAGCAGCAGAAGCTCCCTCACATCGAGATATTCTCCAGCCCTGGCCAGTGTTCTCAGTGGTTAGAGCAGGGGTCCTCAAACTACGGCCCGCGGGCCACATGCAAATACAAATATTGTATTTGTCCCCGTTTTGTTTTTTACTTCAAAATAAGATATGTGCAGTGTGCATAGGAATTTGTTCATAGTTTTTTTTTAAACTGTAGTCCAGCCCTCCAACAGTCTGAGGGACAGTGAACTGGCCCCCTGTTTAAAAAGTTTGAGAACCCCTGCATTAGAGTATCAGCCCATGCACTGAAGGGTTGCAAATTCAATTCCATTATGTTGTTTAAACCCATATTTGTGGGTTTCTTTACTTCTTTTGTGCAGTGGATTTTGATATATGTATATATCTTACCTAATAATAGACAAACATGTAAATTGACCATACCTTCTCTACACTAACCAGCCAATCAGGAGAGTATGCAAATTAATCCATCAAAGATGGCAGTTAATTTGCATATGTAGGCTCCAAGCAGCGGAGCGAAGCCTGACGACCCCGGGGCTGGAGCAGCAAAGCCTGACAGCTCTGGTGCCGGCTCCAGCCAGAGCCCGGCCAGAGCGAAGGCCTGGGTCCCAGTTGCCAGAGGCAAACCAGTGCCAGCAGCACTGGGGAAGGGAAGGGAAGGCCTATTGCACGAATCTCTTCTTGCAACAGGCCTCTAATATATATATTATTGATTTCAGAGAGGAAGGAAAAGGGAGAGAGAGATAGAAACATTAATGATAAGAGAGAGAGAATCATGGATTGGCTGTCTCCTATGTGCCCCCCACTGGGAATCAAGCCTGCAACCCAGGCATGTGTCCTGACTGGGAATCCAACCCTGACCTCCTGGTTCATAGGTCTATGCTCAACCACGGAGGCACGCAGGTCCGGCTTTGCAGTTGCCTTCTAATTTTAAGGCATCATTGTTGGAGAATATGCTTAGTATAATTCAATCTTCTTGAATGTCTTAATGCTAGTTTTGTGACCCAATATATGGTCTGTCCTTCAGAATGTTCCATGTGCACTGTAAGAGAATGTATAATCTGATGTCTTGGGATGAAAAGTTCTGTAAATGGCAACTATGTCCATTTGATCTATTGTTTCATTTAAGGCTGATATTTCTTTATTGATTTTGTGTTTGGTTGATTTGTCTAAAGCTGTCAATGGAGTATTAAAGTCCCCAACTGTGATTGTGTTGATCTGTTTCTCCCTTTAATTCCATGATTAGTTGTTTTATATATTTCAGTGCTCCTTGATTGGTTGCATATATATTAAGAAGTGTTATGTTTTCTTGATGTAGTGTACCCTTTATCATTTTAAAGTGGCTATCTTTGTATCTTGCTATCTTTGTTATTTTGAAATCTATTTTGTCAGATATAAGTATAGCTATACCTGCTTTTCTTTGGATGTTTTGTGCTTGTAGAATCATTTCCCACTCATTTTCTTTGAATCTACCTTTGTCTTTGCAGGTTAGATGTGTCTCTTGCAGCATTTGGTTGACTTTTGTTTTTTGATCCACTCTGCCACTCTGTGCCTCTTTATAGGTGAATTCAGACCATTTACATTTAGGGTAATTATTTATGTATAAGGATTTCCTATAGCTATTTTGTCTTTTATTTTCTGGTGGCTCTGTGCCTCCATTGGTGCTTTTCCTTTCTGTTTCTGTCTGTTGTTTTTGTTTGGTGATATTCCATACTTCTTCTCTCTGTTTCCTCTTTTTTTTTAAGCTATGTGTCCTGGTTTGGAGATTTTTGTGTGTGGTTACCATTAGGTTTATAAAAAATAAATTTGCTTATATACAGTAGCCTTTTTTCTTTTGAGTGCATCTGATCTTCATTCTCCTTTGCTAGTTCAGTCCTTTTCCCCTTCCCCTTTATGGTTTTGTTGTCACAAATTATCCCTGTTTATGCTGTAAGTTTTTGGTGATCTTACTTGTAGAGTTGTGACCTTTTGATCTTTGTTTCAAGTAGAATAACTCTCTTGAGTATTTCCTGCAATGGAGGTTTTCTGGTGAAAAAAAACAAACCTTATCTTCTGTATGTCTGGGAACATCTTTATTTCTCTGTCATATTGAAAAGATAATTTTGCTGGATATATTATTCGTGGCTGGTAATTTCTCTCTTTCAGATGTTTGAATATTTGGTTCCACTCTCTTCTGGCTTGTAGAGTTTTTGTTGAGAAATCAGATGAAATTCTAATGGGTTTTCCTTTGTAGGTCACTGGCTGCTTTGAGAATTTTTTCTTTGTCATTAATTCTTGACACTTCAATACCAAGTGCCTCTTTGGATTGAGGTAACTAGGAATTTTGTTTGCTTTTTTTGATTCAAGGATCTAGTTCATTCTATAGGTTTAGAAAGTTCTTATCCACTATTTGTTTGAATAGATTCTCCATTTCATGCTCCCTCTCCTCCTCTTCCAGAATACCTATAATTCTATTATTGCTTTTTCTGATGGAGTAATATAGTTCTCATAGAGCTCTTTTGTTTTTCTTTATGTTCAAGTCTCTCTCTTCTCCCCCTGCACCATTTCTAGATTCCTATCTTCAATATCATGTATTCTTTCCTCCATCTGGTTGGCTCTGTTGTCTATGCTCAGTAGTTCACTCTTATTCTCCTTAATTGCATGCTTCATTTCTAGGATTTCTGATTGGATCTTTTTTTTTCAGTCTGTTTGGTAAAGTGCTCATTTTGTTCATTGATTTGTTTTCTGAGTGCATTAGATTGCCTGTCTATATTTTCTCACATCTCATTGAGCACTTTCAGAACTGCAATCTTGACATCTCTGTCATTTATATCACAGTAGAGGCCCAGCGCATTAAATTCGTGCATGGGTACTGTCCCTAGGCCTGGCCTGTGATCAGGGCCATCTTCCCCAGCTGTCGGCAGCTGGGCCACCCCCCACCACCACCCACCCCCAGTTCCCCATTCACCATCAGGGGTTCAGAGCCTGCCAACCATATCAAGATGCCCCAGGCAGTTTGCAAGCTGGCTACACCCCCAATCAAGGTGGGGGTCCCCACTGGGGGGAGTGAGGTCAGCTGGGGCAAGGGGTCACAGATGGCCATGCCTCTCATTAGGGTGGGGGTCCCCACGGGGGATGGGGCCAACAGGGGCAAGGGGTAGCCTGTAGTTTGCAATCTGGTTACACCCCGATTGGGGTAGGGGTCCCTGCGGGGGGTGGGACCAACCAGGTGATGGGCCACCAGCTATTTGCAGGCCCGACATGCCACCAATTGGGATGGCGGTCCCCGCTGGGGGGCGAGGCTGACCACAGCATGGGACTGCTGGTTTGCAGGCTGCAGTTGTTCTGGTCTTTGGTCATTCTGGTCTTTTGCCATTTTGATCACTGGGCTTTTATTATATAGGATATTTCCATGTGTTCCAGCTTGCTTTCTGGAGATTTTACATTTTCTTTCTAGTCATCCTCATTACTTACCTTGTTCATGGTTTTTGCTGTCCTCCTTTGCTTATGCATTTATCTCTGAAGAGGTCTTTCTAATATTTTTCCAGTAGATGGTGCTGAATTGCAAGATTGTTTTACCTCTGTGATATCCCAGTCTTGAACCACTGCTGCTTCTGTAAGACAGTACAGCTATGCTGCTTGGGTATGGGGTTTGTTTTGCCCTTACCATAATGGTAACTCCTGACCTCTATGGGGTTCCACCCCAAGCACATCTCCTGGGGATGTCACAGAGGGAAACAGCGGTTTTCCTGCAATAGCTCTTGGTTTACAGATAGTATGCTCCTGGACCCAACTCCAAAGGCAAAGGGAGGTGAGTTTTGGAAATCCAAGTAGAGGCAGGACTCTGTGGTTTTGTTTCTTTGTGTGAAACACCGCCACCAGCTGGACACTGGGGAGCCGCATGGCAGAACCACGTGCTCTGTCAGGCATCTGCTGACTCAGACACTCCCTCACAGCTTGCACTGCTGGGCTGCACCCCAGGACTCCCAAAGCCCCTGCAGCTCTCTGTTCCTCCTGGCCAAAGGAAGCACCTACCACCACCAGATATTCCCCTCTCCCAGCCAGCCAGGGGCTGCATCTGCAGGTCCTCTCTTCTCATCTCCCCATTTATTCCTGGTTGCCCACTTTTAGATGTTTCAAAGTGCGGGTCTCTTAGGCATGCATCTGTGTTGAGCAGGGATTTGTATGTTAAATTATAGTTGGTTAACTTCTTGAAATTTCAGAGGCAGAGGACAATGGCCTCTCTCATGCTGCCATTACTCTGATGTCACTTGTATTTATTCTTTGTCCCTTTTTTTACTCACAGAGTGATATTTTTCAAGGCTGTGATTTTGTTTTTATTTATCATCTCTAAAAGATTATTCTATTCTAATCTACAAAAAGACATTCCATTATTTTTATTACCATCACATTTCATTGTATGCGTGTTCTGTAAATTACATATCAAATCTTCTCATAGTGGGAATTTTGTTTCATGATCATTTCCTACTAAAAATAAAGTTTTAATTATTTAGACACACTGCATTGTTTTCCTGTTTGAGTATCTAGTTAGTATGCATATTATGTCAATTTTTTTTAATGGTACAGTGAAAAGTTTATTTCCCCTGGTGACTTAAGCACTCTAATAAGAATGTGCTAACTACTTGGCAACTCCTCAGTTATTTGGCCTCTGCAGAGCAAAGAGTGACTCACACTTGCATGCATGCACACTGACACCTAGAGACACAGCTCCAAGATTCACAGGTAGACTTACCTCCAAATCTGTTAAATATGTCAATGCCATTGTTGTGGTATTTTCTCAGGTGATGCTTACAAAACACAAGATCTAAAGTATATTTAAGTGTTTTAACCTGACTTTTATTACATGAAAAAAGAGGTGATTTTCATCAGTATTTTTAAATGGGGAAACCAACGATTTTTCTCAACACTTATGATAGTAAATGACATTGAAAATACTGCCCTATGCCAAAACCGGTTTGGCTCAGTGGATAGAGCGTCGGCCTGCGGACTGAAAGGTCCCAGGTTCGATTCCGGTCATGGGCATGTACCTGGGTTGCAGGCACATCCCCAGTGGGAGGTGTGCAGGAGGCAGCTGATCAATGTTTCTCTCTCATCGATGTTTCTAACTCTCTATCTCTCTCTCTCTTCCTCTCTGTAAAAAATCAATAAAATATATTTTAAAAAAAAGAAAAGAAAATACTGCCCTATTCCAAATATGGAATGCTGATATATCTCTAAATTGCACTGTTCATCTCTTAAGAAAAGAAAAAGAGAAAGAAAAAGAAAAAAGATATGGGTATTACATAACAGGATCTCTTCATCCTTATTACTGTGTTTTAAAGAAAGAAGCATATACAAAAAGGCAGAAAGAGTAAATTGTTTAGGTGAAAGCATAAAATAAAATATTACCTTTACCTGGGTTTACTTATCCCTGACCTATATTGGTAGATATTTCCATATTTTAGCAAATAGAGGTCACACATGTGAACACTCCTACTAGCATTATCTGAAGCTGTATGATTCCTCACACTCCCACAAGGTCATTATCAAAGTTTTGGATCTTTATCCATCTGAGAGTCAATATAACATATATTGTTATATTAGGAAATTTGTATGTCTTTCATTATGAATGGGATGGAATATCTTCATTTAAATGCAATTTGTATTTCTGTTTCTGGAAACAAGTTGTTCATCTTTTGGTCCATTTCTCTAATGGCCTGTTGAAACATTTCTTATGGGAACTCTTTATCTGGTAGAGAAGTTAGTTTATTTCCTTATACCAAAGATGCTCAAAACCTAGTATGTGTCAAAATCACCTGGAGAGCTTACTATTTATTTTCAAATATTTACTTAGAAAATAATGTCAATCTTTCAGATTTATTTCAATGATAAAAATAGTATAAATAATACCATATTGCTCTTTATCAGATACACCAACTTTGAACATTTAACCTCCATATTCTTTATTACTTTCATATTTCTTCTCTCTCCCTCTCTCTCTCTCTCTTCTCTCACCTACTTACACCAAAATTAGTTTTTAAAATTTATCATTATGGATTTAAGATGATTTGAAAAATCAGACAAGGAAAAATTTAATCTTTAAAAAATAGGCTGGAGCCCTAGCCAGTTTGTCTCAGTGGATAGAGCATCAGCTTGTGTACTAAAGGGTCCCAGGTTTGATTCTGGTCAAAGGCACATGCCTGGGTTACAGGCTTAATCCCCAGTAGGGGGTGTTCCGGAGGCAGCTGATCAATGATTTTCTCTCATCAGTGATGTTTCTATTTATTTCTCACTTCCTTCCTCTCTGAAATAAAATATATGTACATTTAAAAATAAATAAATAAATAAATGATAAATAATAGGTAGGAAATATTAATTTAACCTACCACCATCATCAGTACTTTTCCTTTTTTAACCAAGGATTTAAATCTATAAATAACAGGTGTTGCAGGGATGAGGCGAGTAAGTCCAAGGTGAGGAGTTGATCCCTGGACATCGAGTCTCCAGATACAGACTCTGTCACACAGTATCACATCATAGGGATGGAGGATGGTGCTCAACACAGAGCCGTGCACCTCTGTGACTGTCACATGATAAACTATAAGCTTATTTATGAAGGAAATCAACCCTTTGATTTCCAGGGTTTGGTCCTAAATGAGGACTCTCTTATCCCTCAATTTTTACAGGGTCTAAATTAATCAGTTCAGGACCCCCTATGATTCTAACAGTGTCCATAAACATCACAAATTCACCTGGCTCCTCCACTCCTAATTTTGTTGCACCCTGCCCAAAACTGAAAATGGTAGAAGGGTCATTAACCCAGATTAGGAGAATGTGACTGCTTTCTCCTCTTTGCTGGGTCCCAGGAAGAGGATCCCGCCCTGGCTGTGATCACCTATGTGGGGCTGAGCCTCTCTCTGCTGTGCCTCCTCCTGGCGGCCCTCACCTTCCTGCTGTGCAAAGCCATCCAGAACACCAGCACCTCACTCCACCTGCAGCTCTCACTCTGCCTCTTCCTGGCCCACCTGCTCTTCCTCACGGCCATCGACAGAACTGAGCCTAAGGTACTGACACTGTCCCAAAGGATGCATTCCCTGATTATGGAATGAGGAATATATGGGACCATGGTGCATTGGACACCTTAATAAAATGACCTTGGGTTTTGGGAAGGTTAGAGGGGTGAGTATCCAATTTCACATTGACCCAACTAGAAATCATACCTTCTTCTTTTCTTTCTTCTTTTAAATATATTTTTATTAAATATATATTACCTTCTTTTGACAATTTCTTTATATACAACAGAGTTCTCTCAAATGGCAAGGTATAGGAGAGGTCCTGGGACCATGCTCCACCCTGACAATCCCACCTGGTGACTCTCACTTCTCCCCCAGGTGCTGTGTGCCATCATCGCGGGTGCCTTACACTATCTCTACCTGGCCTCCTTCACCTGGATGCTGCTGGAGGGCCTGCACCTCTTCCTCACTGCACGCAACCTGATGGTGGTCAACTACTCCAGTGTGAGCAAGTTCATGAAGAAGTTCATGCTCCCTGTGGGCTACGGAGTCCCAGCTGTGATTGTGGCCATTTCTGCAGTGTCCAGGCCTCACCTTTATGGAACACCTACACGGTAAAAGCAAATTCCCATTTCTTTATCTGTGAGATGTATGGGATTGAAGAGCATACTTACTTTCTCCATGACTGTATCTTCAGAGCCAACCACAACACCTATCACAGAAGAGACACTCAATGTTTGTTGATGAATGAATTAATGAATGAATTTGAATAACTGTTCTACATTTCTAAGGACCAATGCATTTTTAATTCTTTCTCTTTTTTAGCTGCTGGCTCCACCCGGAAAAGGGATTTATATGGGGCTTCCTTGGACCAGTCTGCGCCATCCTCTTTGTGAGTGAAGACATCAGAGCATCCTTAACACTCAGCTGAGGGTCATTAGACTTAGAACGAGGCAAAAGGATGACATGAGCAAGAATGTCCCTGGGCTGTCTGGGTTTGCTTTGGTTTTCTATGACTACTCCTAAAACTACAAGCTCTAACACTGTTACTAAATATGAAAAATGCTTAAATGTGGAATTTTTGTTGGACGGGCTAGACTAGAGATAACAAACTAAAATTTTATTCACTAAACCTTGTGTGTTTTCCTGAAGGTCAATCTAGCTTTCTTTCTGATGACCCTCTGGATTTTGAAAAGCAAACTTTCTTCGCTCAACAGTGATGTGTCCACCCTCCAGAATACAAGGTAAAATGGAGAAGAGGGTGACAACCCCGCAGACATGTGTGGTCCCAAGAGCAAATCCATGTGCCTCAGCGTCCCTGGCATCCCTTCTCAGGGTCTTCTGAGGGAACCCAGCGTAAAGAGATGCAGCTGACCTCCAATGGCAGCCAGCTTGGATTCAGTGGTGGGCTGCTGACTTCCCAACCACAATGTTCTGTCTCTAATCTCCTTGTAACTCCCTCAGCAACAGGAAGAATTGACATTGGTTGATAAACACTCTTTGGACTTTTGTCAGCAATCCTACAAAAAAAGTACAAAGAACCTGTGTGCCCTTAAAAATCTGTAACTCCTCCCACAACCCAGTCTACACTTTCATACCCACTCTCGGTTCAGGCTCCCTCTCACCCCTCTCCAGTATCCTTTCTAAATTTTGCATGTCATAATTCAGTTGTACTAGTCATTGGAATATCCTGTGAAATCTATGAAAATAGAAATCTTGCCTCTGTTACTTTTAATGCCCAGGCCCAGCACTTCCTGATACACAGTACAGACTCAGCAATGTTGGCTGAATAAAATTAGGCATCACCATGAAGCATTATAGATTTTTTTTTTGAAACTTACATTATGAAGTGTCACAATTCAATTTAATCATTATGCCATCCTGGACCCAAGTAGCATTTCTATTGTGGAGAATCATTCACAGAAAAGGTCAAAGCTGATCACAATGCAGTCTAAGAACTCATCACCCATAGGGGAAGGCAGGAGCATTCATGGGGTAGAGATGAGAACAGCATTGATTCTGTTTTTCTGGGTGCATATGGGCCTCTCTTCTCCTCCTACCCAGGATGCTGACATTTAAAGCGATAGCTCAGCTCTTCATCTTGGGCTGCACATGGTGTCTGGGACTCCTGCAGATGGGTCCAGCTGCTCACGCCATGGCCTATCTCTTCACCATCATCAACAGCCTGCAGGGCGTCTTCATCTTCCTGGTGTACTGTCTCCTCAATCAGCAGGTACCACTGTCCACCTCCCACCCAGGACTCTTTGCACTCTCACTCCACTCAGTGAGGTGACTCAGAGCATGCTTTGCCTCTGCAGGTCCGGGAGCAATACAGGAAATGGTGGAAAGGAATCAGGAAAACCACAGCTGACTCTGAGAAGTACACACTCTCCAGCAGAGCCATGTCAGATGTCCCTAAACACAGTGTGGTAAGGTCATGCATTGCTCCTAGAGCACTTCCCTGATAGAGTACCTCATGCCAACACACTGGACAACCTGAGTATATAGTAAGTGACGTCCTAGGAAGGCTCCCACTGAATTTACTCTTTGATTCCTTAACCATTAGCCATGGTCTCAGTTAGAAAATATATATGTTGCTCTTATTTCTGTGTTCATCTTGACTTTTACACATTAGTAATCTTTTTTTAAAATAAAATTATCCTTAGTTGTATTTAAAATATATAACATCTTTTTAGGCTTACAAATATGGACCTTGTACATTAAACCATACAGATATGTACATATTTCTTCTTTCTCTGATTGATGTTATTTTAAAAATATCATATGTCTTAAATCATTTTTTTAATTCTTTATTGTTTAAAGTATTACATGAGTCTCCTTTTCCCCCCATTGACCTCTACCTGCCACCCCCTCATGCAAGCACAAGCTCTCACCCCCTACTGTCTGCGTCCATTGGTTTTACTCATATGCGTGAGTATAAGTCCTTTGGTTGATCTCTTACTGCCTCACGCCTGCCTTCCCTCATAGGTTGGACAGTCTGTTCGATGCTTCTATATCTCTGGTTCTTTTTTTCCCCTATCAGTTTATGTTGTTCATTATATCCCACAAATGAGTGAGATCATGTGATATTTGTCTTTCTCTGACTGGCTTATTTTGCTTAGCATAATGCTCTCTAGTTCCATCCATGTTGCAAATGATAAGAATTCCTTCTTTTTTACAGCAGCGTAAAATTCCATTGTATAGATGTACCACAGTTTTCTAATACACTTGTCTGCTGATGGGCACTTAGGCTGTTTCAAAATATTAGCTATTGTAAATTGTGCTGCTATGAACATAGGGGTGCATATATCCTTTCTGATTGGTGTTTCTGTTTTCTTGGGATACATTCCTAGAAATGGATTACTGGGTCAAATAGAAGTTTCATTTTTAATTTTTTGAGGAAACTCCATACTGTTCTCCATAGTGGCTGCACCAGTCTGCATTCTTACCAGCAGTGCACCAGGGATCCTTTTTCTCCGCATCCTATCCAGCACTTGTCCTTTGTTGATTTGTTGATGATAGCCATTCTGACAGGTGTGAGATGGTACCTCATTGTCGTTTTGATTTGAATCTCTCTAGATGATTAGTGACTTTGAGCATGTTTTCATATGTCTCTTGGCCTTCTGTATGTTCTCTTTCAAAGAGTGTCTATTTAGGTCCATTGTCCATTTTTTGTTTGGGTTGTTTATCTTCCTTTTGTTAAGTTGTATGAGTTCTTTGTAAATTTTGGACGTTAAACCCTTATCAGTGATAACATTGGCAAATATGTTCTCCCATGCAGTGGGCTTTCTTGTTGTTTTGTTGATGGTTTCTTTTGCTGTGCAGAAGCTTATTATTTTGATGTGGTCCCATTTGTTTATTTTCTCCTTAGTTTCCATTGCCCTAGGAACTGTATCAGTAAAGATATTGCTACAACATATGTCTGCTATTTTGCTGCCTATGGAGTCTTCAAAGATTTTTATGGTTCCCCATCTTACATTTAAGTCCTTATCCATTTTGAATTTATTTTTGTGTATCGTGTAAGTTGGTGTTCTAGTTTCATTCTTTTTTTTTTTTTGCAAGTATCTGTTGCATTTTCCCAAACACCATTTATTGAAGAGACTGTCTTGACTCCATTGTATGCTCTTGCCTCCCTTGTCAAATATTAATTTAGCATAATGGCTTGGGTTGATCACTGGGTTCTCTGTTCTGTTCCACGGTCTATATGTCTGTTCTTGTGCCAGTACCAGGCAGTTTTGAGAACAGTGGCTTTGTAATATAGCTTGATATCTGGTATTGTGATCCCTCCAACATTGTTCTTTTTTCTCAATATTACTGTGGCTAATCGGAGTCTTTCTTTAATCCAGATAAATTTTTAGAGAGTTTGCTCTAGGTCTTTGAAATATGCCATTGGTATTTTAATGGGGATTGCATTGTGTCTATATTTGCTTTGGGCAGTATGGACATTTTTAATGATGTTGATTCTACCAATCCATGAACACAGTATATTCTTCCATTTGTTTATGTCTTTGTCTATCTCTTTTTTCGGCGTCCCATAATTTTCTGAGTACAAGTCCTTTACCTCCTTGGTTACATTTATTCCTAGGTATCTTAATTTTTTTGTTGCAATGGTAAATTGGATTTTTTTAAATTTCTCTTTCTGTGAGTTCATTATTGGTGTATAAAAAAGCCATAGATTTCTGGGTGTTAATTTTGTATCCTCTACATTGCCGAATTCATTTATTAAGTCTAGTGGTTTTTTGATGGAGTCCTTAGGGTTTTTGATATACAATATCATGTCATCTGCAAATAATGACAATTTTACTTCGTCTTTTCCAATTTGGATGCCTTTTATTTCTTCTTCTTGTCTGATCACTATGTCTAGCACTTCTAGTACTATGTCAAACAGTAGTGATGAAAGTGGGCATCCCTGTCTTGTTCCTGTTCTTAGGTGAAATGGCTTTAGTTTTTACCCATTGAGTATGATGTTGGCTGTAGGTTTGTCATATACGGCTTTTATTATGTTGAGTTATGATCCCCCTATTCCCATTTTGCTGAGGGTTTTTATCAAGAAAGGGTGTTGGATTTTGTCAAATCCCTTTTCTGCGTCGATTGGTATGACTATGTGATTTTTGCCTTTCAATTTGAGTAATGTATCATGTTTTTTGATTTGTAGATATTGTACTATCCTTGCATCCCCAGGATAAATCCTACTTGGTCATGGTATATGATCTTTCTGATGTAATGTGGATCAGATTTGCTAGAATTTTGTTAAAGGATTTTGGCATCTATGTTTATGAGGGATATTGGCCTGTAATTCTCTTTCTTTATAATGTCTTTATCTGGTTTTGGAATTAAGGTAATGCTGGCTTCATAGAATGAGCTTGGAAGTGTTCCTTCCTCTTGAATTTTTTGGACTAGTCTGAGGAGGATAAGTTTTAGTTCTTTGAATGTTTGGCTAAACTCCCCAGTGAAGCTGCCTGGCCCTGGACTTTTGTTTGCAGGAAGCTTTTTAATGACTGCTTCTATTTCCTCCATACTTATTGGCCTATTGAGATTTTTAGATTCTTCCTGATTGAATTTTGGAAGGTTATATTTTTCTAGGAATATGTCCATTTCCTCTAGGTTGTCTAGTTTGTTGGAATATTATTGTTCATAGTATTTTTTTAGCAATCCTTTGTATTTCTCTGTGGTCTGTTGTTATTTCGCCTCTTTCATTTCTGATTTTGTTTATTTGGGTCCTCTCTCTTTGCTTCTTGGTGAGCCTGGCTAGAAGTTCATCAAACTTTTTTATCCTTCAAAGAACTAGCTCTTGGTTTCATTGATCTTTTGTATTGTTTTTTTGTTGTTGTTGTTCTCTATATCATTCATTTCTGCTCTCATCTTTATTATCCTCTTCCTTCTGCTCACTCTGGGATTTTCTTGTTTTTCTCTTTCTAAATCTTTAAGTTGTAGAGTTAGATGATTTATTACCATTTTTCTTGTTTTTGAGGTAGGCCTGCAGAGCTCTAAATTTCCCTCTCAGGTCTGCTTTCATTGTGTCCCATAGATTTTGGATTGTTGTGTTTTCATTGTCATTCATTTCCAGGATGTTTTTAATTTCTTTGTTGATCTCTTTGGTAACCCAATCATTGTTTAATAACATGCTATTCAGCTTTGTTAAAATTTTTTTATTGTTTTAAATGTAGTTCTTTCTAACTTTATGCCATTGTGATCTGAGAAGATGCCTGATATGATTTCAATCTTCTTGAATATGGAGAGACTTTGCCTGTGACCCAATATTGGTCTATCTTTGAAAATGTCCCATGTGCACTTGAGAAGAATGTATATTCCGTGGCTTTGGGGTGAAATGTTCTGAAGATGTCAATTAAGTCCACCTGAACTAGTGAGTCATTTAGGATTGCTGTTTCTTTGCTGATTTTTTGTCTAGACGATTTATCCAGTGATGTCAGTGGGGTATTAAAGTTCCCTATTATGATTGTATTGTTTCAATCTCTCCCTTGATATCTTCCAGGAGTTTTTTATTTATTAGATGCTACTGCATTGGATTTATATATGTTTACCAGGATTATATCCTCTTATTGTATCAATCCCTTTAGTATTATCAAGTGGCCTTCCTTATCTCTTGTTATGGCCTTCACTTTGAGGTCAATTTTTTCACATATATGTATTGCTACCCCAGCTTTTTTTTCATTTCCATTTGCCTGAGAGATATTTTTCTATCATGCACTTTCAGTAGGTGTGAGTTCCTTGTTCTGAGTTGGGTCTCTTGTAGACAGCATATATATGGGTCATGTTTTTTTTTTAATTAATTAATTTATTTTTATTGCTTAAAGTATTACAAAGGGTATTACATATGTGTCCTTTTTTTCCCCCGCCCTTGACAATCCCCTGGCCTCCCCTATCCTCCAGTGTCTTATGTCCATTGGTTATGCTTATATGGATGCATACAAGTCCTTCGGTTGATCTCTTACCCACTTCCCTCCTGCCCCCCAACCCTCCCCGCCCTTCCGGCTGCAGTTTGACAATCTGTTTGAGGCAGCTCTGCCTCTGTATCTATTATTGTTCAAAAGTTTATAATGGTCTCTATTA